CCTATCGATGCATCTGTTGAAGCATCATATTCATATGCTCATTTGACCCATTGTTATCAAAAATATACAAAAAAATTAATTAGAAAATTAGAAGAAACTCGAAAAAATCTTGAAGCAAATCGTGAATGGCCACATAAATCGAGACCAATAACAAATGATGAGTTGCAATTTGCATCAAATTGCATAGCACCACATGCTGTTGCACAATTATCATTAACTAATCCATGGCCAACAAGAGAAATGAGTGGAGTCGAAGTTCTGGTTGAAGATACATTTGCATTTGATTTAACAAAATTTTTACCCGTACCAACAGTAACTTATTTGAGCCTACGACGTACTCCATCGATTTTTGTTCGTTACAGTTTTCATATATTGTGGATAATAGGTGATAAAAAACTTGAAAATATTGAAAATCTTATAAAAGATATTCAAAATTTACAAAATACTTCTAAATTATCAACACATCTCGATGATGATCATAAACTAACTGTTGTTCAAACAATTGAAGAAGCTCAACAATGGCTTAAAACTAATCAAGACATAATTCGAAAATCACACATCAGATTTAAAGTCGTTACTTTATGGACAATACAACATGATAAAACGGCCATTGATGTTATTCGTGCTGTTCGTTCAGAATTATCACAAGTACCTATTCTGATTTTAACAAATAAGCGTGATGAACTACAAGCAGCACTCGAATTTCCAAATGTTATTGCAACAGATAAAGAATTTGAAGTAAAAGAATTTGTTGGAGTTAATCAAGAAACACTATGGAATGCAGGTTGTCGAGTATCACATATAGAACCTATAGTATCACAAAAAGATCATGCATCACAATTGCAGAATGCAGTAACTACAGCAAGTAAGTAAAGCTGACATGTTTATTAAGAATTCCAATAAAACTATTGATGTGAATTCGCAATCATACATCTCTAATACAAGTCTCTTCTTTTTCAATCACTCGAATTTCATATAGTAACAGTCGTCATTCGAAATTATTACAAGAATAAATCGAAATGATAGGCATACGATACAAGTACTTAATATATTTTCAAGTGACTGGTTCGATTGCCTACTTTGACCATGATTAATCTGTAGTTAATACAGCTCAACGACTGTAAAGACTTGTTAAGATTTATTAAGACTGAGGGCCGGTGAAAGTTTGCCAATACGACTTTCGATAATAGGATATTCGTTAATGGCGAAAACACGAACAATAGTAATATAAAATACATATAAGAACTGGAGCTAATACTATTAGAATATATGTTAAAGCTTACACGCATCAACGTAATCGATAGAAACTCCTTTAATCCCTATCTAATTAATAGTAAAATTGGAGAATTACAGGGGATGCATTGGCGAAAGTCTTATTCGAAAAATTCCAGAATTCAAAGATTTGAAATAACTTCGACAGACTTCATGAGACCTCGAGAATTCAATCCTGAAGCCTATACTCTTTCTTTCTCACCATAGTTCTGAGAGGAGTACCATAAGTAATTAGTTAAAATTTATGTTCCATCATGATTTTTACTGCAAAAAATGATTTCTCTTCTTTTGTTCAAATTTTATTCTATTTTTCAAACAATTTTATGCTCCTAATAAATAACTAATTCTTCTAATATCCTTTTTTAGGTAAAAACAAGTCGATGATAGCTTCAACATTGCCGTATCCATTAGAAGGTAATCCATCGGCTACAAATGAACTAAATTTTCCACCTCTGCCTAAATCCGATACTTCTCCAGTACCTTCACATACATCATTGCCATCGAACTCCTTAACTCGCGATACGTCAAGAACTCCATCGTTGAAATCAATGTTACTTTGGATTGATATACCTCAAAATGATCCAAAAACAGTCAATGAAATTCAAAAACGTCATCCAACATTAGAAGTAATCTTTAAATCAACATATAAAGATGCTGAAGAATATTTAATTAATAACTTACCTGAAATAGAAGAACATGAAATATTTATTACTATATGCCGTGGTTATTTTGCACAAGAAAAAAAAAGTTTTACTCATGTTGCTCAACTTTTTGAGAATCTTAATCTTGGAACAAGACCTCTCGCAGTTTATACAAGAAGTAAAACAGATTTATTAAAATACACATCAGATCTTCCAATGGGCGTTGAAATTTTTGATAAACAACTTGATTTACTTGATTTTGTAAATGATTGTTTAAAACCAAAATCTTGATAATTTTTGAAAGTCGATTTTATATTTTCGAAAATAAACTGAGAAGATTATGAAGAATAGTTTTGTTTCAATTATGTCATGTGACACATTTTTATTGTATAGCATATATGATCTTTGATTAATACATATTGAACAAAAAGAAACTCGTCTTATATATTTAGAACATTATGTGGATAAATGACAAAGAGTTGTTAATATTTGACTAGCAGAATAATCAAACTTTATCTTTTTGAATTTCATTGGAAATGAAACAGCTGCATTGAAAAAAATACTCAATGTTTGAAATTGATTCGGTATTTTCGATAAATAGAATGATATAAATGGATTTATTCTTTGTTCTTTAAATTACCGTTGTTATTTGAAGTTGAAGTCAGAGTAATAAACTGTTTGTTTGCGCACTTCTTCTCAAACCAGAATACTTCTATATTTGCTAAAGAACACAATAGATTACAGAATGGTATAAAAATACTAAAAGATCAGCGATTCATATTTAGTGAATGTACTCTTTCTTATTAATTTGCAAATTTTATGTTCAAATTTAATAGAAAGTTTTAAATTAAAAATTAAATTAATAAAATAGACTCATAAATAAATAATATTTTAGAATATTTAAATTAATTGTTCATTATCATTGTAGAGTTTGACTGGATCTATTGACTTGATAGTTTTTCATGTAATATTGTATTATCATTTGGTAATTTGTATTAGTATCTTTGTTCTCTGATCTCTAGTATTTGGTTGGTGCATAATATTCTTGTCATAAATGATGAATAAATTTAAGAGAGTATAAATAAAGATGTGGGTCCGTATAAATCGCACAATAGTTTTGTGGAACTCACATATATTTTCGAAGAAAATAGTGAGTGTAAGTTTTAAGTTCGAGGTTTCGCTGCCCCCCCCCCCCTTACAGACAGGCCCCCATTACAGACCATAGCAACGAAAGAGAATATTACATATAATCACCCATTACAGACTTTCACAATCAATAATAAAAGGTGTTACATTTTTTCGATTTTTTTTTGGAAAATTGATTCAGTTATAATTTTGAATAATAATGAATATTATTATTTGTGACTTGATTAATATATATGATAGTGTGTAAGGTCTGCTGTAGATATCATAGGTATGTAAAACACACTTATTTGTCAATCAATTCAATGATTACAGTTGAATGAGTCTAGAGAGCATATGTGAGTTCCACATTTCAGCCCCAAATGGGCTGCGCTAACAAGCTTTTTTGTTCTGTTTAAACTGTCCTGTATTGTCTTGCAATTATATTCCAAATCGATCCGTTTTATGTCTATCTGCATACAAAGAAATCCCAAAGAGACTGTGCTCGAAGGATGTTTTTCTGTTTTTTTTGGCCTGATATTTAGTAGACTTCCATTAGAAAAATATCAGCTGGATAAAAACTAATATGATATTCTGAATTACCATATAAAGATGTGTGAACTTCTATGTATTTAAAAAACTTTTTGCAACCTTTTTTTCGTCGAAGAATTTACCTCGGGTGCCCTCACGATTGGATCAAAATATAAATTTTATGAAAGCTTTATTTTTACTGTTTATTCATCAACTATTATGAGCTCTACTTTGAGGGGGATCATCGATAAATTTTTCGACGAAACAATATGGTGGCAAAATTTTTGAAATATACAGAATTTCACTCAATCTTAGATGCTAATTCAGAATATCATGTTGTTCTTTTTATCGAAATCGTACTTTTCTAATGGAAATGTACTAAATAACAAGCAAAAACAAATCAGAGAATCATGTCCCAAGAACAATCTCCTTGGGACTTTTTCTTTTGCGTGGCCAGTGTTTTTTTCTCGACGTTTTTGTATCATTCTGAAGCCGCTGAAAACGGCTATCAAGCCATATGAATTCTAGTCTGGTAGATTTATGGATTAATAGATAAAAAGAGCTGGTCATCCTCAACAACCAGATATAGTGTACGCACGATAGTCACGGAGTATTTCAATTAGTCAGGACAGGACACAAAACAAAATGTTCTGGATTTAAACCTATCAAGGCTTACCTTCGGATATCTTGAGTAAGAGTTTGACATAATAGAAATTATATTTCTGCAAAAGGCCGATTCCATCAGTTATCCACACCCACCTTTTGTAATTCTTTTTTTTCTTGTTAATCATTCAATAGAGAGTGTATTGATTTGTATCCTGAACCGATATTAAATATGATCTGTCGTATTAATAGCAGATTATTAAATAATACAATAGCATCAAGCTTTTCTTTGACTATCCATTGATGTCGTTCCCGTTTCATAGATTTTTCTTGACAACTAATATTTGCAATAGACTTTATGGACAAATACTACCTGATGAGAATCATTCAATTCGTCAGCATCTGATAAGCTTAAACACATTAATGATGGAGTTCAATTAGGGTATTCAAAAGTAATGTCATTATCATTGTCTTCTTCCGATTCCAATTGAAGAGATATTGATATATATACTGATACATTTTCACATTCACTAATCGTTGAAGTAATTTCAACAGTTCAATCATCATTAGAATTGTAACAATTATCAAAATTTAAATTTTTATCATTACAAAGAACTGCAAGATGTTCTTACTTCATATTTTATATGTTCAGTAAGTGATATAATGGCCGTGTATTTCATTCATATATGCATACAATATATTGAAATAAATTTCGAAAATGACTGAAATTTCCCAGTAGTTTCAAAAATTTCCACTTATTCCTGTGCTAGTGTTCTTGCCAGCGTATGAATGTATATATTCATGTAATATATTGAAGGAAATTCCAGAAATGACCGAAATTTCGTGCAAAATGATTTATATTGAAACGATTCATTTCAATCACTATAATTGTAATTGTCGAACTTTGCAATATGTGTGGTATTGCTATGGGAGTAATTCCTTAAATTAGATAACTTATGAAGAAAATTTACTTTTTGGAAATCTGAACTTTGCTGAAAACTTCTTCTTGTGTTTCACGTCAAATACTTGTAAACATTGTTTTCATAGTATTCAATTTTGTATTTCGTTTGACAATAGAGAATACTTGATAGCTACAAACAACTACTTATAATCAATCTTGATTAACACATTGGAATAATATGAAACTTATTTTTCGCGATAAATTTGCATGTTACAAACGTAATTTTCTTTCAAGAAAAAAAATTAACTAGACATTGCCAAAAAATATTAATCATTAACTATACAATAGATATTTTTATCATTATCATCCTGATTATTCCAACTTATTCAGATAGGAAAACACATGATCAAATAATATCCAATCATAATAGGGGTCCTCCAGTATGGAGTATGATACATGAATACATACTTTTCATATCGATGCGGACGGCTTGTTAAATGAGACAGTAGCTTATTAAAGCATAACCATGTGCTTGCTTTCATTTCACCTGTGCTTTAATTGAGATACTCGGAAACCTACATTTGTTTTTTTTTCTTTTTCTACTCAACAACAAAACAATCAGTTTTATTCTCAATCTATATAACAGAGACCGGTGTGAAGTTTGACCTTTTACATACAATTTCAGATTCTTAGGATTAAAATGGCAACGACAACAGA